CACTTCATATAGAAATTGTATTTTATGAATTAGGTACACATTCTAAAATAAACGACATAATCCTGTGCTATATAATGTAAACATATATATTTTATATAATAATATATAATATTGTTATACAAAAAAAATATATATAATATTATTACATAACATTATTGGGACAATGTTCTGTTAGGGCCTAAGCCCTCAGAACTTCCAAGTTCATTTAAATCACTTGGAAATACTTTACAGCTCTCAGAGCCTTCAGAGACTTGGAAAGCAGAGTGAGGGGGATTTTGGGAAGGAATTCTTCCCTGTGAGTAGTAAAGCCCCAGCAGAGAATGTCCAGAGAAGCTGGGTCTGTCCCATTCCTGGAAGTGTCCAAGGCCAGTTTGGACAGGGCTTGGAGCAGCCTGGGATGGTGGAAGTGGATGATCCTTAAGGCTTCTTCCAACCCAAACCATCCTGGGATTCCCTAAATTGGCAAAGCCCTCATCCAACAGGTAAATAAAGAGGATTCTCAGGCCAGGGAAGCTGCTGGCCAAATCCCACAGCCCTGTGCACGTCTCAGGCAAGGGCTGGGTCACACCCACTGGCAGAAGAGAAAAATAAATTTAACAAAATTTACATTTATCACCTTCTCTTCCTGCTGAGACTCATAACTGAGGGCAAGGAAAAGCAGCAGGAACTTGTTTGGGGTCTCTGGACAGAAAGACCTGAGCACGTCCCAGTGACAGCAGCGGTGCAGAGAGCCCAGGGGAGGCTGGGGGTGTTGTGCACAATAATTCCAACTCCAAGTCAGGTTTATTTAGTAACTCCTTTATTGAAATCACAAACCAGAGTTAAAATTCCTACATTATTCACATAGGTCAAGTTTCTAAGTTCACTGAATAAGCACAGTCCAGCGGCTAAAGGGGCCAGAAAAACCAGCAGCTCTGAACTGCTCAAGCTGAGACTTCAGCCAGAGCCTTCTCACTCCATGGCTCCCCCAGGGCAGCTGGACAGGTTCCTTCAGGCTCATGGGAAGAGGCAGGAGCAGAGCTCCAGTGCAGAGACAAAGCTCTCTCAAGATTGCAGGTGAAACCGTACCCAGCGTTCACAGCTCAGCAGGAGGGAGGGAGCTGGGAACACCCACCTGGAAAATCACCTCCATTCACTCCAGGAATTTCAGAGGAAAAATTCTTAACCCCCACCTGGCCCCAACACACAAATATTTACAGAGACATAACAAAGAAAGAAG